TAGTGATATCTGCACGTTGAACAGTCAGTTTGCATATTTGCTAATAAATATTTATGTTAACTATTTGAAAAAACTCTTTAGCCCATGACTGATTTTTGCAGTTTTTTGAATATGCTGTAATGGTATGATTTTTATTAGCACCCACTCTTTAGGATGACTTTCCTGGAAGACCATTCCAGAACCAAGCCACTGTTCTGTACTTGTCCATACAGTTTTCACGGGTGTGTGTGTGTATGCATTTTTCTTCTTCTGGTACTTGTTAATGCATCCATACCACCCTCTCCCCAAGAGATTTTCATCCTTCCTGTTTTTCCAGGAATTGGAATGGAGAGTGATATTACTGGTGGGCTATTCCAGTTACTTTTCCCTATTCCCATGCAGCACAGCTCTTTTTCCTGTAGTGTGTATTTAACTTTACCAGCATTTTGCACTAATGGATTGCAGATGCTGCAGAGAGTGTTATTATAAGAAGATTTCATGCTCTGGTAGTAATGTGTCATGCTTTTATAGTCTCTGAGTACATGATAGTTGTGACATTCCTCACACAGTATTTAATGCTTACATTTTGTTTAATAATTGTCTACTTTTTACAAGGGCTGTGGTAGATTTCAGAGACATCATCTTGGAAGATATTTCAGCCATTGTTTTAGACTCTCTGGATAACATTTCTGATGTGTGAATATTTATTTATTTTACACCTAAACCTAAAGGCCCTTGGGGATATTATTTGTTAAGGTACACTAGAACTCCACCCTTGCAGGCACATTTGAGTTACACAGATAATCTCTGCAGCAGGGTGTGCTCCTGTAGCCCAGAGAGGGGAGCCTGGGAAGGGTCGGTGGCGTCAGGCCCTGGTGCAGGAGCAGAGCTGCTGCTGTGCTTTGGCAAAAGGCACTGGGGGTGCTGGGATTTCCCTTTGGAGCCCAGCTCCCGCCCTGCCCTCTCCACTCAGCTCCGTTTGTGCTGTGCCTGCTCTGCCTGGCCCACCCTGGCCTGATGTGCTGTCACAAACTCTCTGGGTTATCTACCTGCCTTCACAACACACCGTTCTGGAAACACATACACAGATTTCTGGAAACACTAAATTTAGTTCTTAGACGAGGCCTGAGAAGGAATTTCTGCAATTACTCTGATGAGCTTGTATGCTTATTTTCACGTGACTGAATCCATTGCTTAGAGAATTGGTCCTGTATTTACAAGCTGAAAACATGACTAACCCCCAAAGTGGTAGAAAATAACCAAATTACTTGATATATGTTGTACCAGGCTGAGCAAGGGAGCAAGAATAGAGAATAAAACTTGGAGAAATATAAATAAAAACAGAACATGAATTCTATAACTCATACTCTGTATTAGACTAGAAAACCATTTCTAGATGCCAAGTCTAACTAAGGAAAAAACATCATTTTGTTTAGCAAATAATACATAGACGTCAGTCATTTTAAGTTTCTATGGGTTTTTTTGTACCTTGATAGTGTTTCACTATACCTAGTACGGCTTTAATTAATATTTATATAAATAGAGGTTTGTGTAGTTCAGAAAAGAAGCTTAAAGGAACCACACTGTAGAATGTATTACCTACAAGAGCCACTTTGGAGGTGGAGAGTTGGAAAGGAGGTGATTTTGGATACATTGAGAGATTGCATCATCTGATCTGTCCCATATTCAAAGTCAAAGCCTTCTGAATTTCTAGGGATTCACCAGACTGTGGAGGCAAAATGCTGGAAAAGACACCATCAAGGGCTAATTCTTTGTTTTCAGTCCCTGTACTGGAAAGTCATTTTACCTTCTGGTTTTGTCCTGCCTCAGTCTGTGCCTGTTGGAGTAAATGCATCTTTGTCATGCACGAGCACCACTTGCGGCGCTGATAATGGAGTTTTCATATGCATGTTGAGTTTCTGCATTTCTGATGCTGCAGAAGCCAGCACTGCTGTACTCTGTTGTTTCTCTGTGCCTCAGCAGTGTGGTAATCAGCAGATACATATATCTGTGGGAATTCTCCTTATGGAATCTGGCAAAGCTACTTTTTTGAATGATTTTAGTAGCTGTCATTTATTTCAATTATTATGGGATGGGGAGGTTCACTACAATTCAGCAGATGGAAGTTGGGTCCAAAGTTGTAGATAAATGTACTCTGCAGGTTCTGAAATCCAAACACATTGCCAACATTAAGAGATTGTTAAAATCCTCAAACTCCAATTTACTTTTTATTTAAGAAAGAAAAAACCTGTGCGCAGAATATACATAGTGATTTTTGAAAAGCACATGAAGCCATATGGATTGCAATGCTGAGCTGCTGAATATTCTGAGTGATTATTGTAAGATATTTTGGGCCTGTAAATTACATACTACTTTTCAAATAATTGCTACTTTTGTATAGAAATAAAGTGGGGTTTCTGCTCACTGTATTTAATGTTAACGTTGTGTTTATAAGAAGTTTAAGCTGAAGAGAAAACAAAACCTTAAGACTGTTTGGGGTTTTTTGTGGGGTTTTTTACTTGTTTGTTTGGGTTTGTTGGTTTGGTTTGCTTTTGTTCTTAAATTCCTGGTCATCTTCAATATCAAGAGAAATCTGTAGATTTCTATTTTGATAGTAATTTGGTGTGTTCTAGCTAAATGTCATGATGTGATATCCTCTGTGTTCTTCTTTCCCAGTTTCGTAGCTGTGCCCACTGTGGGTTAATGTGACTGGAAGTAGAGGCACCTCAAAGCAAAATAAGTTTTTTGGGTAACACAAGGGACTAATGGGGGTTGGTAAATTACATGACAGCATTGTTGAGGAGACCTCTTATAATGCCAATATTAAACAGGTGGGACACTGAGTTCTTGTGTCTTTAATTAATGCAAATTTATCAAGAGGCCTGGCTGTGCTTGACCTTTTGCATGGAGAGCCAGTACAGTGAGCGCCACAAAACTCTCCTTTTCCAAACCTAAACACATGTACCTCTTTCATCCAACAAGGCCTCTCTAAAGGTCAAACACAGCTGTGGTTCAGCTGAACAAAAGGGATCAGCTCCCTTCTTGCACCCTCTGCAATGCCACAAATAAGACAGGAGGGGTAGAGGTTTAATTCATGGAAGGGAAGTCACTTCCCTAAATGAAAGTAAAGGTTTGCTACTCATAGGTAGTGATTACAGTATCTTGGCACTGACCATGTGACTTGCTGAATACTGATTTACCTACAAATATTTTATGTATCAATCCATCCTCTGGTTTGGAATGCAATTTCTTTCTTTTCCTAAAGGGTTTTCTTTAATAACCTCACAATTTCAGCCAGTCCATTTATTTAATTGAGAGCATGTGCTGTCTAGCCAGCAGATAAACTGGCTAACCTTGTCATTTTACCTTCTGAGTGCAGTTCCACATTACAGGATTATCAGCCCAGAGCCAACTTATCATACAGTAATAATAAGCTAACATAGCTGTGTGAGCACATTTAATTAATGGCAAAGATGGAATTCTCGAATTTTCCTTCACTTGGCCACCATCCAGAAGTGTGTGACTCGTCTGCTGTGGGAAATGCTGTGGAATACAAACTATGCACATTTGCATGTAGGCTTTATCTGGACAGTCTTTGATATCCATGTGCTGGTCTTGGTTCGTTTTTACTCTGCATTTATCTCCCAGCTGTTGCATTTGTACTTCATTTAGAAACTAACACTGAGCTTTCACTAAAAACCCCTAATTTGACGGGTCTTTTTAATGGCATAGCTACTAAAGAAAACACCAAAAGGCACATTTCCCACATGTTGTCTTTCTGAATAATGTTTTCAACAGCTGCTGCAGCTGTGGATGTTGTCAGATTGTGAAAAATGCTTGAAACATGGTCACAGTAGGAGTGTCCACAGACCAGACTTGGTGAAAGCTTAAACTGGGCACTCCCCAGTGCAGCTGCTCCAGAGAACCAACAGCTCCTTCTCCACATTCCCACCGAGCATCACCAGGCTGGGTTGTGTCCAGCCTGCTTCCCAGTGCAGTGTGCATCACTCCTGCAGCGGCCAGATATAGATGCATTTTTGTTTATTATACTCTGCTATTTTTACACCCAAATGATTGTTAGGAAAGCAGGATGGGGTGGCAAAGGTGACTAGCCAAGTATAGAAGTTATTATTACACAGACTCTTTGCACAAGCTGAGGTGAAAAAATGACACTATGGACTCTTGAAATAAATATATTGTGCATTCTTTTCTCCCATTCTTTTATTTGGGTTTTACTTTGCTGTTTTTGTAATTCAGTGCTCTAATGAAAAGGCTCCTCTCCACTGTTTTTCTCCTGCATGAGGGTCAGTATCCCTCGCCCCATTTCTTGTTTCTTTCTCCATTTTTAACTACATGTAAAGCTTATGGTGACTCAACTATAATTTGTGTGTTACTTTAAAATACCTAAGATTAGCTTAGGTACATAAAGGTCTGAATCCTGCTTGCTTTTTGTTTGTAATATAGGGAGTAATGTATATGCTAATCTGTATGCTAAATCTAATTTTTAATGAATGTATGGGTCCTCTCAAACATAAGATCAGGTGGGGAGGTTGTTTGGGTGAATGAAACAGAACAAAAAACCCTTCTGCTAATTCTATGGATACCTGGATGTTTTTGTGATTGTTCTGTCATTACTCCACTTCTTTAGCTAATTTTCAGTTGTGGTAAGAGATCACAAGAACATTTGCCCTAAATACTTATTCTCCTTTAGTGTTTGATAGCATTTGGGACTGAGAGAAGAAATGTTTTAATGAACTACTTGTGATCTGATCACAACTGAGTGAATCTGGCAGCTGGATTGAAAATTGTTTAAAAACAACATAGTACTAGTTCTGTTTATTTCTTATTGAGAATAAAAGGTAAGCATTTTAATTTTAGTATTTGGTTTCCAGCATTCTGGAAATACATATCATGGCTGTGTATTAACATTGATCTCTTGTATTAATGTGATCTCATTACCTGTTTTTAATGACACTGGTATCAGCCTCGTGCCTCTTCAGTAACTCTGCTCTCTGTTCCAGGTGCTGTTGTCAGGACTGATTGGTGTTGTTTCATGGAAGAGGCCCCTGTCCCTTGTGGTGAGCAACTCCCAGTGCTTTTGTCCTTCTAGAGAAGCCTGATGGTCTGTGGGGATGGTTTGCAGTGCTGTTGTGTATCCTGATATTTATAAACACTTAGTACAAAAAGTCTGAAGCCTTTGAAGTTGTAATGTATAAACCACCTGGGTGAAAATAGCAATTTTCTACTGTCTCTCAAACAGACTATTGCTCTGCTTGTGCCTTTGCATTTAACTTAATTGGCTTAAAAATGCACTGCAGAGCAATCTTTTAGCAGGTATCTGAATGGAAAAAAGCCCATTCCAAATTAGTAGTTGTTTGTCTTCATCTGCAGAAAGATTTTCAGCTACATTTTATGATTTCTGTTGTGAGCTTCATGTAGTTACTCTGTAATGAGCAGTGATCCATTCTTTGTGTGTGCATGCTGATAGAGTTTGTCAGCCCATTAATGTAAAGCAGTATTAGATGGAAATCAAGCTCATTAAACACACGTGGTGACTGTGTCAATAAGGATGTGTTAGCAGGTAAACATTGCCTTTGGAACAGTGTGCCTGTGTGACAGAGTAACACAAAATATTTGTAGCATAGTACTGAATGTAGTTCTGGGATAAAAAGCATAATGGACATGAAATGTATGAAATGCAGAGTCTTGTACTAATAAATTTGATTAGAACTGCAGGTATATCTTTTAGTGTTATGAACCCAGACAGTAGGCAGAGATCACATAATTGGAATAAATAATATTCACACATCAGAAATGTTATCCAGGCCTGTTGAGACCTGTCCTCTGTGATTCCTGAACACTCCCTTGCATGTTGTAAATTCAGCTGGGCTTTCTAATATCGACTGGTTCAGTGAAATGTAAATAGGCAGTCATGGTCAGTGTAATTCAAGGAAATGGGGATAAAAGGGAGGTAACTGTAATGGTAACATTGATGTTTGCAGAACAGCTCATCTTCCTAAAATCTGCTCTAGGAAATTGTTTATTTCCAGGAGTAAGCCTAATGCTCTTGATTTAGATCCTGATCTTCTGTATTGGCCCTTGGTGGTGACACAATAATCAGCTGAAGGATGGGGACAGGGATGGTGTTTTTCACTTCTGTGTGTGCCTAAGCTGTGCAGTGGCTTTACAGTGGCTACAACTGTCCTGTTTTCCTTGCTGAGTTGTAAATACCTTTGAGCAGTTGGGCCCCACGTGTGCAGGGGGACTGTTCTGATCAGCAGTTAATAATGTGCAACTTTACAAGCTCACAGCACAAAGTGCCACCAACATGCTAATGAGCCATGTTCCTCCTGATCTGTTTATTCAACACATATGCCAAATACATATGGCCAATAATTACCTTTGAACCTGTTTTATAGTACTATAAGCAGCTAGACAATCAATTGCAATATATTACAATGCCTTTTTTGTTGCAGTGTGTTACAAAATCTGGCATTGCTGAGAGTGATAGCAGAAAGATAGATAAATATATTTATCATTTGTAGCTATGAATAAAGTTATATAAAATTAAAACATGCAACATCTGTGGTGTCCTGAAAACTGGTGAAACTGTGATAATATTTTAAGGTGCCAGTTTTCTGCATATCTTGGATTTGTGACTGAAGCTGGTTTATAATAACCAGTGTTTTGACTATTGCTCTATTGTTGAGCAGCACTTGTGCACTATCAGAGCTTTCCGGTTTTCCCACACAGCATCACTTGCTCTGGCTTTTTCTTTCCTATTTCCTGTGCTTATTAAAGTATCTTTATCTCACAAGTTGTTTTTTTTTTTTCACTTGGGCTTTTCTAATTCCCTTCCAGTCCTGCTGCAGGGGGCAGTGAATGGGGCTGTTGGTGCTTCCCTGCTGGCCAGGCTCAGCCCCCACCCTGCTGGACGTGCCTTGCACAGCACTGTAACCACACAGGGCTTTCCCACAGACGCTGGGTCTGTTCTTTGCAAATGTATCATTTTCTGCAGCCAAAAAGAGGAAGTTGAGGAAGCATTAATCAGAGATTGTTCATCAGCCATTAGTTTCTGGCTGTATCATGGAAGTGTGTTATGCAGTGTTGGTGTAGAAATGAGTGTGTTGTTGCATAGTTCAACACTTGGGAACCAAAGTCAAAACTGAGAGTAGTTGTGTATTTATAAGCTATTACTATGAATGCTGTTTTGTATTCTGCATTCAGTCAAAGATTTACAGATGTGTGTGTGCTAAGGACATTTTACTGCAATATTAATGTGCAGAAATTTAGAAGTTCTCCTGCTAAAGTGTCTTTGCAAATCTTGATCATCTGGAAAATTCACCAGTTTTTTTGTTAGTTTATCTGAATTTTCTTGGTCACCTCCTAGCCATCAGTTGCTTATGTTGCCAAAATTCTTTATACGTGCAAGGAATAAGTGTCTGTTACCAAACCTGTATTTACATTTACCAGAGGAAAAACTCAGGGAAAGGAGTGTTTAAATTGCCCACACATTGATTTTGAACAATATTTTCCGTATGTTTCAGTTGTTTCCTCATTAAGCTTTCTCTATTTTCATTTTGAAATCTCAGGGTATTGGTAGTGCTTTCAGAAAGCCTCTCAAGGGTCCCTTTTTTGGAAACCAAGTGTTGGCTGTGTCACTACCACTGCTTAGTGTTAAAATGCAGTGTTAAAGTAGGAATTTGTTTCCTTGTGGTTTGTGGAAGTGTCTGAAAATTGGGAGAGAACTTGTGGAGCTTCACCTGAGGCTGAATTGCCTTGTAAAAAACTTTAAATTGTGCAGTCAGATTATTTTTCTGTTGCAATCTAATCTATGGTAATTGCAAATCTATTTGTGCTAAGGAGATTAATTCAGCCTCTGAATTGAGTTGAAAGCTTCTCTGCTGCCATCTGGCATTTGGGTGACCCCAGAAAAATATTTTTTACATTTCTAACTGAAAGTTTTTTAAAATAAACTGATAGATTTAATTTTTTTTTTCAATGAACAGAAAAGTGGATTTTTTTAATGTCTGTGAATGTCAGTGAACACAAGGTAATACTACCTATTAATAAATGATCTTGATTACCCAGAATAGCTATTTAAAAGCATTTACTATGAAATGTGCATTCCAGATCCAGTTCTGTGCACCAGTGAACATGCAAATCAGTGCATGTATAACTCAGTGTGTTGTCCCTTCAAATTTGCCATTATTTCAAGCCTTTTTTTTGTGTTTGATAAGAACATAGGATTTTCTTCATTTTAGAAAAATAAGAGAAGCTGTCCTAAATAGCTGCAGTTCAACCTGCATGTCAGGCAAAAGGATGAACTATGTAAAGTCTCAGGCTGCACCCACAGTAAGATCAGTCAAATACAAAAACTGACTTTAAGAATATATTCATCTTGGGTCATCTTGGTAGTTGTTGCAAAATGAGAGATGTTTCTTTCTAGAATTCTGGTGAAAAACTTGAATTAGTTGAAATTCAGACTTGAATACTTTTCTTTTTTTCTGTAAAAATCATTAGAAAAATATCTACACTGAAAAGGGAAATTACTAATAATTTCAAATCAATACATTCATGTATACTCTTACCCCATAAGATGTAAAACTGGTCCAAATGTTTTTTCTCATTGATTATCTCCTCTCATTAAATATCATTGCAGATTACAGCAGGAATAACCAAACTTCAGGAAAGAGATGAAGCCTAAAATATATAGAAATAGTCTATTAGTGCATATATAATATATTAGTGTATACACACACACATAGAGATAGAGAGAGATAGAGTGTATTATATAACAGTAAGTTTCCTATGTTCTGCTGGGTGAGGTGGAGTTTTGACTTGTTCCTGGCCCTGCTGCTTAACCTGAGCTCCTGAAGTACCTTAAGGGGTGAGGCAAGTCTTTTCAAACTCTTGTAAGGGAATTTACAGCTTCCTTTCTGATGAAATGGGAGAGAAATATTTGAATTTTAAAAAAGAAGTGGTTTTCCTCCCTCCAGTACCCACCCTCAGGCAGAGATTTGGTTTGGTTCCTGGGATAAAAAGATGATCAGTGTAGATGAGGGGCAGTGTCAGCATAAACAGAAGCGCAGGGAAGAGCAAGTGCAGGAGTGCTCAGAGTGGGCGAGGAGCAGTGTGGGGCTGCCATCCCCTCGTGTGTCACTGCTGGCTTTGATACCTGTGTGATGCTGAGAGGAGCTGCACAACATCCCTCTGCCTTAACAGGGCCCTTGATCACTCTGCAGTGGCATTTCAGCATGAGCGCTCTTTGAATTCCTTGATCAAAATGTTCATTAGGAACCCTGCTAGTAGACAAACACTTGTCTTTGAGGCTGAAGCAGTGGTTTAAAGGTGAACAAAACACTGGGGGAAAACAAGAGCATCTTACATACCTGTGCTTTTCAGTTTCTGACGAGCTGGGCAGGGGCTGAATGCTGGACATTGCTGCTTTCAAAAGAAACCTGGGAGACCGAAACAACTTCTGTTTGGAAAGCAAATCCAGTGCTGGGTTTGCTCTTCAGATGTAGAGTGCTGTAAAAAAGTAGCTCTTCGGATGTAAGGCTGTAAATTTTGGTGAGAACTGATGTGAACCCAGGGTTTGGAATCAAGAGCAGAGTGTTTTAGTTTGATCGCTTTTCTGGGAGCATGGAAGGAAACCAACTCAAATTCAGAGGAGCTGAATGATAAATCAGGAGGAAGAGAATTGTGGAAGACTGGGACAGGAAGGAGAAATTGAAATGTGAGCCTGGCAACATGAGGAAGATAGACATCAAAAGATTTGAGAATATTAGGACCTAGATGGCCAGACAGAAGTGGACCAAAACCATGTCAATAAAAATCACACAGTAGGAGCTCTCATGCTTCAGAGATTCACTGCCACAAGCACCATAAATAACTGAATTGCTATAGATTTGTATCTTAGTTCTGAGTGATTTCAGTGAAGAAAGTGTAGGCTGTAAATAGCATTTTCCTATACTTGGGACAAAGTTAGGTTTTCTTTGCCTCTTGCCTTCCTGTTCTCCCTTCCCTGAGGGTGAGCTGTACGGAGCACTAAGGAGGCTGTGCTGCTCTGGTCACC